CAAGTTCACTGATATTTTTTTTCTCAAAAATATAATATCCATTTTGTCTTGTCGTCTTTGCTAATGCCTTTTCAAAATATGAGCAACGGAAACATAGGATAGCTGAATGTACATGAAATTCTTTTACTTTTGGTTCTTCGCCAACTTTAATTTTTACATCAGAGTTATATCTTGAATTCAACAATCTATTAAGGTCATTGAAAAATAGAGTTGATAATGACGTCGTATCCATTTTTTTTTTTTTTTTTAATTTTAAAAATTTTAAAACAACGGAACCCTTGTTAATAAAAAAGGAAGGGTTTGGGTAGAGCTGTGCGTTGCAGATCAAGAAGTCTATAAAAGAAATTCGAGTCTTTTGAGCATTTAAATTTAGGTAAAATCAAGTTTCAATATGCAACGTAAACTTGTTTTCAGAAAACATACATATTTCCATCTATAGAAACTGTAGGCTCGATGGCATTCTGAAATGGAAATAATTGTTTTGCTTAACATCATTGTAGTTGTAGAGGTTACTTCTAAATTTTCATTATTGAAATTATTTTGAAATCGATAGGATGTTGTGATTAGATATTTTTAAATCAACCAGCAGATGATAATAATACTGTGAATGGTCATCCTGGAAATGTAAATCATCCCTTGTTAATATTAACTGTTAAAAAATTCAAGCTCCGGACTGAAATTACGGCTTTGATTTGTATCGGTAAAAAATTCTTTTGACATGCATGCATACTTTTAACGTGATGCATTTTTACGAATTTTCACACGTTTTACGCGTTGTAAACTTTAAAATGAAAGAAAAACATAAGAATAATTTAAATAGTCAAAATTTATATATTAATATTTCAATCTCGCTTCCAATAATCCGTCTGTTTAACGTTTTTTACACATTGAAACTTCATATTTAAATAGAAGCTGTCCTAGAAGTTAAAATTGAATCATTTATATAAGTTTAAACTCGGATAACAACTACAGCCCGAAAACGACGTGACTTTGTTGTTTTCACATACTGAAAAACTACAAAGCCAAAATAACCAATATCGCATACTAAGTAAATGATATTATTTAAAAACATAAATAAATAATATAATCTAATGTACTAAATTATATTAAATAAATAAGAGAAAATCTTTAACTGATTTGGTAAAAAGAGAGACTTGTTTAGCAAAACAGTCAATTCCGATTCCAACAAACAAAGAATTAGAAACAACCAATAGTCAAAAAAAAAAAAACAACCTAAATCAGATTGTTCTCTCTAATCCCAATGATCCGTTATAGAAGGAATAAACTGTATATAAATAGCTTATGTTTATTTATTTATATTCCATTGGAATTTGCCTTGTAGTTCGACAAATATAATGCAAATGCACAGAATGAAAATTTTGTAATTATTATTATAGATTAATACAATATAAATGTGACGATGAAAAAAAGAGGCAGTAAAGTAAATTCATAAACTAACTAATTGATAAATACCGATTTATTGTGTATTGCTTGCGATTAACTGACAAGAGTAGCACAAAAGTTAAACCATCATCGACATGTTTGTTAAATAATCGGCATTAACTGAAAGGCTACCTTACACTATTTTTGTTCTTCTGCCCAGCATGACATGCCATCATATTCTGATTGGCGACTTATAGATTTGGTTGTTAATTATTTCATAAATGGTGTAGACAGAAAATTATCATGGATTTGAATGATCAATTTATTTAATAAAACTTTCAAATATTTTATTTCAATATCTTTATTTATTTAATCCTAATAGTTTGTTGATTAGTTAGTCAAATAATTAATCAACAGAAAATAACAATAAGAATAATAATAATCAAAATAATAATTATTACCTGTGATGCTTTCTTCATTAATAATTTCTGTAATTTTCTTTAAAATCAGAAAGTTTTCATAATCATCATTATTATAATTATAATAATCCAACCAAAACCTTTTTTGTTTAGGGGGTTTAATCAACTCTCCCTTTACTTCTTCTTCTTGATCAATGCTATCTTTTATATTATTTTTCATCTGGTTCAATTTCCTTAAATAATTTTCTTTCACAGCCCATGTCAA